TGAACCCTGTTTAGTCATTCCATTCTGTTTGGCACCATCATTAAATTATGGACACTTAGATCATTTCTTATTACTTCCACCCGAGTCTAACTTTCTGTGCTTATAATTAAAAAAAAAAAAGTTAATGTTATATACATAATTATATTATGTTATATATATAAAATAATAATATTTCATCGGGCTCGGATTTTAATCTGATTGGATGAGGTTAAATCTGCATGTGATCTTATTTGGATCAGTATGTCAAATCACTAGGAGACCAAGAGAAGACCTCAATCCACTTGGTAGGGAGTGGAGTTAGCAATGAATTGTGGGCTTCACCCTACAAGATTAGCTTGTATTTTTCTTGTATCTTGGGGTTTAAAGGATGCTGTTTCTTTGATCAAGGTTTAAAAGATGCCGTTGTAAGTGAATTTATGAGCTTTTGTTTTGTTGTCCTTGCGCAGCATCTCTTCATTTCACATAGCAATAAACTTTTGATCAAGAAGTTGAATAGAGAAAGGCAACCATATCAGCAGCAGTAACTGTTTATTAATTTAAGATACAAGAGTTATGTATATGCATTAGTAAGTTTGCCACCCCTTTGTGTGGCCAAGCAAAAGCTCCCCACCCCTTTCTTATTGTTCTTTCATTTTTGGCGTTACAACTTTCACCATTGGGAAATCAGTCCCCAATACATCTGATTCCTTCATACACCCTATCTAGCTATGAATCTGCCACACTGTTGGCTGAACATGGAATCCACCTATATGCCCCCCCCCCTAGCCTTCTCATTCCTTTAGTGCCCCTGATTTCATGTCTGTAATGCCAAAAACTCATCCTATCACTTAAACAACCATTCCACCACCACATGTAAATCACCTTCCACGACAAGATTCTCGATGTTGCGTCTCTTTTCCATCCTTAATCCATGTTGCATTGCCATGACTTTCGCCCTAGTTGTGTCTCTATAACCTATAGAACCAGAATAGAAGGCCAAAAGATGTTCTTCACTATCTTTGATACCTGCCCCCCGGTGGCCCAATCCCAGACTCACCTGGATTATAAAGTATTGCAACCATCAAAATTTAACTTTTATCATACCCCCTATCAGGTGGCATCCAATTCAAAATCACATATCTTCTAGTAAATGAGTTTACAATACTTTGTGAATTCCTAATGAAATTAAGGGTCGTAAAATCAGCAAAAGCATCCAATGAGCCACCTTAAAAGAAATATCTCTATCAACACTTCCTTAGACAGCATTCTCTCTTTAAAATTCTGTCATTTCTTTCCTCCCAAATACTCCATAGAGTGGCTCCTCTATTAAAACTTCCTTAGACGGCATTCTCTCTTTAAATATTCTAGCATTTCCAGCACATCCATTGTGCAAGTCTCCTGAATTTGATGATGGATATGTCAACATGGGTACAATCTCAAAATAAGTATATCCATTTTGTGTGGTTTAGCCTTTCAAGGTGAGCCTTTACTCTCATGATGATTAGGCATCACTTGCAACTAGAACTAAAATAAATTTCTATAACTTACAATTGCATAGGTATCTAGCAACTAAGCAGTAAGCAAATAAGCAATTAAGTACATAATAGATAACAAAAGCAAATAAATAGAGAATTCTTTCAGGGGGAAAAAAGAATAATGATATACCAATCTTCATATTTTTGTCTCTACTGTCCCCAAGTCAATCATGAGAACAAATGGTGAATCTTCTTTTTTTTATCAATAATGGTGAATCTTCTTGCAATCATAACAAGGGACTGTAAGGGAGAGACTTTACTGAGCAGTGCTGTAATGTTTGATGTTTATTGGATCAACCTTTTCTAATAAGGGTTGACTTCTGTATTTCAGTTTAATTTATCTCTAATGAAAGTTATCATTTCTGATCAAAAAATAAATAAAAATCTTCTTGCAATCCTTCTGAACCAGAAAATCAGCATCTGAAGGCTAAAGAAGAGACATTATCTTTGTCTTTCCCCTAACCGGTGCTTCCTGTGTAAGGCCCAAAATGAGGACTGTTACCATCTACTGATATCCTGCTTCTTTGTTGCAGCTTTATAGAGTTAGAGCTTTAGTTTATTTTATTATTATTATTATTTTTTATTGGAAACGGTAACTTCATTAATACAATATTAAGTACAAGTGTACAACTGTCAACCCCTAAAAAGGTATTGAGTCCCCAGTAATCTTTTTTACAAAACTGCCCAGAACATACCCTCCCTCACAGTCCCTTGTTTAGCCAACGTATCAGCTAAGCCATTAGCTGATCTTCTTGTCCATTTGGAGTAAGCACCAACCTCCCTTGTTATATTGAGGATTTCCCTTATGGGCTGTCTATAAATCCAGGCTCCCAACTTACCTGATTGCAACCAATCAATTAACTGTTTAGAGTCTTCCTCTATCTCAACTTGGTGCGACCCCAATTGTTCGGCATATCTTACACCTTGAAGCAAGGCCATCACCTCCGCTCTCAATGAGTCCCCCACTCCTATTGGCCCCGAAAACATAGCCACAATTCTGTCATTTTCATCTCTGAAAACTCCCTCTATACCTGAAGGGCCCAGGTTACCTCTAGAGCTCCCATCAAAGTTCAATTTCATTCTTTGTTGTGTTTGTGGGGATCACAACTCCCGCACGATAGGTTTTATGGAGGTTGTAGTTGCCACCACTCCCCAATTCCTTTAAATGTCTTCAGCTGAGAAGTCTTTAAATAAATCCAAAGTTTTCAACCATTGAATAGTCACAATGGTTATTCTTTCTACAATTTCCACCTTGTATTTCTCCACTCCTTTGAAGATTCTATTCTTTCTTTCTTCCCAAACTGACCATAGGATAACTGCTCTTGTGACCCTCCACATTATTCTTTCACGCTTCTTCGGTTGCCTAAAAAAGCTTGGGTCAAAAAAGCTTACCACGTTGAGGGGAGGTGTCCATCTGCAACCAAAGATAGAAGAGAACCATGTCCAAAGAAAGCACACAGATAGACAAGAAATTAATAGGTATGTGATTGTCTCACCAGAACCCAAGCAGAGGCTACAAACATGAGGTGACAGGCACAAATTTGGCCTTTTTCTTTGCAACATATCGAGGTGGAACCCACCGCCTGATGTAAGTATGTTGTTTAATCCATCTACTCTTGGGTGGCACACGAGAAGAGGTAAAATTATGAGGAAATGTATCAGGGCAGCTATCTTATGGATTGTTTGGGTGGAAAGGAATGCTGGAATCTTCCTAGAGAAGGAAAGCAGTTTGGCTGAAGTGAAGGACTATATCTAAATAAGAGCAATCCATTGGCTGAAGACCTTGGTCCTGTTTGCTGAATTCTCCTTTGATGATCTTTGGAGAAATTGGTTTGCAGTGGCTAATACCTCCACTAGGAAGAATAGAAGTGTGGTAGAGTGGAAACATCCTCCAGAAGGTGTCATTAAATTGCACTTTGATGGTAGCAGCCAAGGTAATCCTGGGCCTTCAGGTGTAGGGAGTGTGCTAAGGAATAAGGACAGCAACATTATCTCCTTATTTTCAGGACTGGTGGGAGTGGAAGATTCTACAAGGGCAGAGATACTAACTGCTGTACAAGGGATCTAGATTGCTAACCACTTTGGGGTGGAACATCTTCTAATGAAGGGGATTCTCAGGTGGTAGCACAGTGGCTATCAAACCTGGATGCTGCCAATTTGAGGCTATACAGACCTCCTCAGAAAAGTGAAGATGCTAACTAGCAAAATGAGAGTTGATGTTAAATGGGTAAGCAGGTCAGTGAATATTGTGGCTGATTCCTTGGCCAAACAAGGGGTAGCCAAGAAAGCTCTTTTTTGGGCTACTTTATAACTTGTTCTAGTGATTTTGAAAAGTTGTAATTGACTACTTTAGAGAGGTTGCATCTTGTGTTTCTCCTTGGGATGCTTGTATTTCTTATCTTTGGTAAATGGTGATTAATAAAATTCACTCAATTATCCAAAAAAAAAGGAAGCATCTCTTCTCAGTCAAACCCTTTGCATAATATACTTGCATATTTGAGTCTAACACACTCTTCCTTTTCCCTTTCAAGACCATTTGAGCAACTAGAGTTCCATCCAAAGTAGCCCTTTTGATTGGGAAGTGCCTCACTAAGGACAAATTACATGGATGAGGTATGGAGCTCCCTATGCAAATTGTGTCCTTTGCAATAATGGGTGCCTAGAATCAGCCAATCATCTTTTTATACACTGCACACTAATGTCCAAACTGAGAGTCATTTTCTTCATTCCCTTAACATAAGTTGGGTGTTTCCTAAATTTTCCATGGAGGCCCTTCTTAATGTCAACCGGCTCAGAAAAAAGGCAGAGTAGGTTGGTGTCTAATCCCTGCAGCCATTTTTTGGACCATCACGATGGAGAGGAACCTCAGAATTTTTGAGAATACCAAGTCTCAAGATGATAAAACCTGTAAAGTTATGGCAAAGAGCCAAAGACTTTTTCATAGCCCTCAGAGAAAAAAGAATTTCATAATATCCAAGCATCTCACTTTTCTGACCCCCAGTAACATGTTAAGGTGTAATTGATTTTGTATTTATTTTGGTGTTTTTTGTACAGCCTCTCACATATAGGAGTGGTCCCCTCCACTGGCATTATAGTTTCAAATCGATGAAAACATAATACATTATCGACTCCCAGAAAAATATGAACCATTGAACAAATAAATTGTATTTGATTTTAGTAAAGCATGTGATATTAATTACATTATACTTGGCATTTAAATTTTATATATGTACATTTGATGCTTAAGGTTATGATTGGTGACTGCTTGATGGGCATTGATTGCTTATACCCTAAAGCAAAAAGTAGTTGTCCTGGCTAGGCAAGTCAATATCCTAGGAACTCTTAATCAACAAGTTGAAATCTTGAAATTGCAAATATGTTCACAACCACAGCACAATAAACTAGACAAAATCAGCATTGCAATTTGTAAGATGATCAATGGACAACTAAAAATTTCGAACACATACTAAAGATACCATCCCTTACCCTTTTCAATGCAGTGAAGGCCTTCTTCCTTACTTCTGCATCTGATGCATAGATGACAATCTTTTCAATTGCCTGGCATGTTTCATTCTATTGTTAGAGAGCAAAAACATCACAACAGTGCAAAGACACAAGAAATGGAATAATAGTACCTTTAGTGTAGCAAAAAGACCAGGTATATAAAACTGGCAATCTATATCTCCATTTCTGTTTTCAGTGCTGTTTTTTTCTGTAATACATAACAAGAACTCGATTGCATGTCTTTTCAATAACCATGGTTGATCACTTGAAGAAAGTATATTTTGTAGCATTCCTATTGCTTGCCACTTCTTAGTCTGACTATTTAGGAGTTTATCCCTTAGAAGAGTCAAATCCTCCTCAGCAGCCTTCACAACTTCATCAGAGATATGGCCCCAAATCACTGGAAGGAAAATGGAAGAACATGAATGGGTAAAGAAATACAGGAAGAGAACAACATAAGCATTCAGAGTAAGGGGAGAAATACACAACAGCAAAGGTACTCCATAGATATGATGTATCAGTAAAAACCTGCTAGAGATGCTCCATGTTTGACCAAAGAAAAACAATTCTCGAAATCATCACTGCCCTCTACAACACTTTGTTGAAAAATGAATTAGAAAATTTTTCAACTTAGCAATGGAGTAGAACAAGGACAAGAGTCCACCAACAAAATTTCTAAGTTACCTCCAAGAATGACACCATTAGATGCATCAACATCACCTCCAGTTATAAGTCCAAGGTAGGATAAGCCACAAAATGGAAGTAAGCGGGACAGCTGTTCCACAAATGGAATACAGCTTAGAGCTTCATCCATTATGCCACTGGAAACAAGAGCCTGAACACCATATTGGGCTTCATAAGCAACTAATTAATGGGAAAACTTTGAAACACATGAACTTTCAAAACTAAAGCCTGCCCATCAACAGGCAACCTTGAAGGAAAGTGCATCACTGACACACCCATCCCCCAAAACACGGAGCTCAAAATATGGAGCAAACACAAAGTAAAACCACAAAAGAATGGGAACACAAGTTTTGCATGAATTTCTAACCATAATTTGGAGGACAAATAGGGCAAGTAAAGCAACAAGCTCCTCTTTTCTTCCGCCCTCCTGTTTAAGGAAACAAAGGTAAAATTAGAGAGACAAAGTAGACCATACATCAAGAACAACAGCAACAATCTCATAAAGCAGGAGGATTTCTTTAACGATCGCATACCAACTTTTGGCAAACTGCTTGCATGGAAGTGGCAATGCTAATTGCTCTGACTATCAAATCCTTAACAGAATCTTTATCAGCATCTGATTCTGAAGTGATGGCTTTTAGAACATTGAGGATACCAGGGACTGCTACCTTTATTTGCTCAAAGTGGCATCTCTGAATACAAAGAAATACTGAAAAGGCAAGAATAAGTAGTGCATCAATAACTTCACCAACTAGTCGCAGATAAATTTTGTAGCTTCTAATCTTTCAAACAACATATTAAAACAAAAACATGGGTACTAGTTGACTAAGCTTCATTATAGAATACCTCAAGATACCCTAACAAAACTGGCTGAGAAATTTGTGCACAAATTCTAACTTATCAAACTCTCTTGTGCACAAGTCCTAGCATATCAAACTGTCCAAAGGTATCAAAAAACTCTTGTTAGTGCAAATTTCTGATAACTTGTGGTCAGACTTCAGAGAAAACTAACAAAGACCCAAGTGTTATCTCATTCAGTATACAGGTCAGAGAACTCAAAACAAGACCCTGTCCAAAGGTATCGAGAAGCTCTTGTTAGTGCAAATTTCTGATAACATGTGGTCAGACTTCAGAGAAAACTAATAAAGACCCAAGTGTTATCTCATTCAGTATACAGGTCAGAGTACTCAAAACAAATGCCTGCACCTTGTTCAGAGCAAAAAAAGCTCACATTTTTGCCTCATCTGGCCTGTTTCATTCAAAGGATTTCTGTGCATCAGTAGTTTTGTTTTTTTCCTTTTTTCTCTATTATTATGTTTGGATGGGTTAGCATTATAGCATGAGATTCAAGTCAGAAGTTATATCAATTGTTCTTTCACTAAAGGGACAAAATAATAGCCTCCCTAGAAACCTGTCTTTACTAAACACACCTTCATATGGCCTATACAGGAAAAAGAAGCCAACAACAAAAATGCACAAAGATATATTAAATCATCCAACTGGTAGACTCATACAGGAAAAATTAGAAATAGATAGATAAAACTTAAAAATAAAACTGAGAAAAGATATTTTACAACGTTTTCTCCAAAATTCGAGGAAATAACCCATGAGTCCATGACTAACACGCATAGTTGTGTACTGTGTTATAAAATACTTTTGTATTTTAAATTTTTGACATTATAATTATAAAATAGACATTATTAAACTAGAATATTCATTTTATGTGTTTATATACTAATTTCTTTTTATTATTTTCTTATTTGTTAGGGTCCCATGGTTCAAAGTATCGATACACCTCTGTGTATTGGCAGAGGTGTATCAGTACTTATAATGATATTCCCCCTAATTTTTTTATTTTTTTGGTTTTCAATTTCATTTTTAAATATAGTTATGTATATTACTTTAAAAATGTGTTCCCGAAAACACCTATAAACAGGTGTATCGGGACCCCAAAGATACAATACAATACGCCCGATATGGGGCATATCGTATCAAAATTTCAATCCTTTATCGAATCCTCACAGATTTCAAAACCTGAACCAATAAGCAATGGAAGAACTTAAAATTTTGTCTAATCAACACATTTTCTTCTTCCACCTTTTCTTTTCTTCTTTTCCTATAACAAAAGTAGGGGTTCAGCCCCTATATTTTTTTAATTTTCTTTCCTTTCTTCTTTTTCTTCTCATAAAATGTTGATTTTTCTAGATTTAAACATGAAATGTATACTTCTCTTATGAAAATTACGGATAATTATTAAGGAAAGATGGTTATGGAACCTAGGGAACTACCCTAGGATATATGTTTTACTTAAAAGAAATCCATCGCCTAGGTGGGCACCTAGGCGACTAGGCGACAAGGCACCCCCTGTCACCTAGCCTCGCCTTGGCACCTTGAAAACTATGCTAACATGTAATATGTACTTAAAAAAAAAAAAAAACTGACTGCACTGCCTTTTAACAGCCCCCCACTACTACAAATTTAAACCCCATTAACAAAAATAGGAGTAAAACATCATATGAAATTCTACTCTACCAATAAGAAGATCATGCAATTCAATAGTGGAAGCAGACTAAGACATAGGAGCTGAGAGCAATATTTAGATGGACAATATAATCAACTAATTGGCGGAGAGGATAAGACTAACTGGAGGCATGAGGGGCAAAGGAGAGTTCAAAGCAGCATGAAAGTGGCAATCGGAGCCGGGGATTGAGGCAAAGAGGTTTAGGTTTGAACAGGCAAGATCCAGTGGAACGGACATACTGAAGATAAGAGAAGGAAGCAGGGCGACCATACTCTTACCAGAGGATTATTTTTTTTTTTTTTTGATAATTGATTCTTACCAGAGGATGTTACTCTGTGGGTGAAGGGATTTCGGATGGAGCACTTAATTCCATCAAAGTAGTGGGTCGGAAAAACTCCATGACAGTGCCAGGGAAGAAACTTGAAGTAGAACTGAGAAGGAACAAGAAGGGGTGGTTTATTACTATAATGGAACTCTTTAGCACAAAAGGAAGACAACTAATTTGTGTACCGGAAGGGAAAAACCAGCTGGGTTGAGTAGCTTTTGTGGGCAAGCTGCAGTCCTTTCTCATAGCTGCAAAACTAAAGGAAACAGAAAAAGGGGAGCAACTCGGAAAAGGCAATGAAGAGAAAGATCAAGAGGATCAAGGGGAGGGGAATGAAACCAAGGTGTATAAACCCACTGAGGTGCAGAGTGCTCTGAACCCTGGTATTGCAGCGGTATGTTCAACCGGCTGCCACAGAGTGGTAGTTGAAGCTGGGACTGATACATGGAAGAAAAGAATGGTCTTAACGGCGAAAGAGGGAGTAAAGGACTGAGCGAAAATCTTGGATGCAGTTGCATCGAGAGTAGAACCTGCCATGGAGGCGATGTTGTTTCCGTTTGCAGACTGGAAAGCTATTCTTGACGTCGGCGAGTTGGATTTAAGCTTCAACATAGTAACAGTAGACGGGGGTCTGATTCAGATTCAAAATTGGACGCCAATCTGCAAGGAGGTAGAACTCAAAGACGGAAGCTTTCGGTTGAAGCTACTTGGGCTTCCCTTTAATCTGGGGTGTGAGCCGGTACTTGAACAAATTGTATGCAGCATGGGGAGAGTCTTACTGGAAATATACCAAAGGGATTTGAGTGCAGTCGAGGTTCAAGTGGCAGGAATGAAGCAAGAAAACCTGGCCTGGTCGTTTGAAGTTTACTTTGGGGGAGCCTGGTATCAGGTGTGGGTGGCGTCAGAGATTGAGGCGCTGTGGTGAGGAAGGACTCCAGAGGTTGAAGACAATGCCAAGCTGGCAGGTTGGAGGTCACGTGGGCGGAGGGGACTGGGGGAGGAAGAGGAAATGACTAAGAATGTTAAAATGGAAAAGAGCCAGTCAAATCGGATAGACCAACCAACAAGCCAGCCATTTAAAGTAATTAATTTTTTTTTAATTAGGCAAAAACAGGGCAGGTGAGTTATCCTATGCTGACGTGGTTAAAAAAATTGATGGCCCTGGTTACACAAAACATTTAACAAGGTCTGAACCAGCTGGGTCGGTGGGTGGTCTAAATAGTGAATCGGGTGACCCTTATAAGAGCCCACGTGACTACTTAAGTGGTCACGTGACTGGTCACGTGGAGCAGGATAAGCTTGCGATGGATAAGGGGACTTAAAACAGGGAATCCCGTCTATCATCGTCCAGCTCAAGTCGTTTCGGTGGAAAGGAGTCATAGGGGTGGAAACCAGATCAGGAGAACTCCCTACAGTGGTCTTCCCATCCAAACCACACTACTTCTAATGCAGCACCCTACTCCTCTGAATGCCCGAACCCCAGGTACACAAGGGAGAGACTAGAAGAAAGGGAGGGAGAAGAGAAAGGCTGGGTGGAGTGTTCTGAGGAGGAAGACGAAAGCAGTGACAGATCTGATGAAAATACCAGCATAGGAAGTGTCAACGACGAAATTGGTTGAACTATGGAGTTGGCAGGTGACTTGAATATCAACAGCCTTTTTCAAGGAAAGATGGTAGAGGAACAGAGAAGCTATTCAGAGGATCTGAAAGATGCTATAGACGATGGAAATAAACCGGGAATTTGTAAGGAAGCAGGGATTGAAGGCACTTCAAAATCTGAATGCCCTCCAAAGGCTCAGACTGCACAAGATGCTAATTGCGAATCAAACCAGGGAAACCTGAAGCCGAGCAGAGAACATACTGGAAAGGGGAAAGCCACAGGGTGACAGAGAGGATCAATATGCTGACCGTGAGACAAAATCGTATTCCCACCAACCGAAGGAGACAGATAGAAACTGGATTCCAACACAGGATTAGGTAGGAAACAATAGCCAATTCCACATCCCACCTCTCGAACAAACCCAGGTAATCAAGTGGTTTCGGCTTTTTCTACTGATGAGTGCTCTGTGTTTTGTGTTCCAGATTCCATTCCCATCCTAAGTCCGACAGTACAAGGAAAAGAAGCCAATCTAGGTGAATGCTACTCCAGGTGGCTGAGGGGAAGGTGGAGGATAGTGGGGAGCTGGTGGATGTAAGGTTCAAGAATAGGAAGGTGTGGGAAATAATTGAGAAAAACTTCAATGAGGTTGAACAGCATGTGTTACAAAGAAGGGACAAAATTGAAGCACTAAGGAATGATCTTGTTGAGAGGGGAGGGAAGGTTGAAAATGAAAGAAAAGAGGAAGAGATGGAGAGGGTAGTGGAGGAAACACCTAGCAGAGAGGATTCTATAGCAAAATTCATTGGAAAACTAGGATGCAAGGTGAAAATTTTGAATGAATTGAAATCTGGATTACAAAAGAAAAAGGAGGAGAGCAAAGCTAAGAAGAGAAAACTAAGCAAAGTGGAGAGGTTGAGAAGAAATGTTGAGTGAGACAAGCATTTTGGGGTAAAAGGAGATAGGAGGGAAGTAGAGGCTTGGTGTAGGAGGGTGGAAGATTAAAGGTTTACACGAAGATATTAAGTTGGAACACGAGGGGCTTGGGAAGTGCAAGGAAAAGAGCAACGATTAAAGATGTGACCCGGATGTGGTACTAACTCAGGAATCCAAAAGAATGGCTTTTTGACTCTAGATGGGCAAAGAGTGTATGGAGGGCTAGCGGGATTGATTGGGCGGCTGCCCCATCGTGGGGGCCCTCAGGAGGGATAGTAACATTGTGGAAAAGGGATGTGCTCGAAGGAGTGGAGGAATTGATTGGTAAATATTCAGTACCCTTGAAGTTCAAGCAATCCGAGGATGGTTTTGAGTGGATGCTAATGAATGTTTATGGACCAAACAATTATAGAGAGAGAAGGCAATTGTGGAAGGAGTTGGGTGATGTACGGGGTCTATGGGAGGGGCCTTAGTGTGTGGGTGGGGATTTCAATGTGGTTAGATTTATAGAGGAAACCAAGAACCCCAATCAGAGAGTAACAACATGAGGAAGTTTATTTCTGGAAACTTTTGAGCTTAAGGAGATCCCATTAGCCCAGAAAATCTTCACCTGGTCCAACCTTCAATTAAACCCGATATGCTCTAAGTTGGATAGGTTTCTTTTCTCAATAGATTGGGAAGAACATTGGAAAAACTTAACATCTAGAGCACTCCCGATATTGGCATCAGATCATTGGCCCATTGTGATTTGCAATCAGGAAAGGAGTGGTGGACCTACCCCTTTTAGGTTTGAAAATGTGTGGCTACTTCACCCAGAGTTCACGCAGAGAGTCAGAGGCTGGTGGAATCAGTGCCACCCTTCAATGGAATGGGAAGGTATGAGATTTCATAAGAAACTTCAATACCTAAAAGTTAATATTAGAGACTGGAACCAATTGGAGTTTGGAAGGGTAGAGGAAAGGAAAAGGTTGTTGATGGACCAAATTGAGTTGGACCTAAAAGAAGAAAAGGGGGTTTTTGAAGAGGAAGATAAAGAACAGAGAGGGGGTTTGAAGAGGCAATTGGAAGAGTGGTTGTATAAGGAGGAAGTAAGCTAGAGGCAGAAATCCCAGTGCAAGTGGCTAAAGGAGGGCGATAGAAACACTAGTTATTTTCATTCTATGGCAAATGGCAGGAAGAGGAAAAATTCCATTTCTAAATTGGAAGTTGATGGGTTTGTCCTGACTACCCAGGATGAGATAGCAGGGGCACTTATAGAACATTTTAAGTCCATCTTTAGAAGGCCTCTAAATGGGAGGGTGTGGGTAGAAGGATTGGATGGCCAAATATAGGCATAGAAAATAGGCAATGGCTGGAAAGAAGATTTGAATTGGAGGAAATCAGGTAGGCGGTATTTTCTATGGACAAAACAAAAGCTCCAGGCCCAAATGGTTTCACAATGGCCTTTTATCAAGATTGTTTGGATGTTTGGAAAGGAACATAATGCTAGTCTTTGATGAACTCTATAGAAGGGGTGTAATTAATCCTGGTTTGAACTCTACCTTCATTGCACTAATCCCAAAGAAGAAAGATGCCTCTCAACCAAAGGATTTCAGACCAATAAACTTGGTAAATAGCCTTTATAAGATAATTACAAAGGTGTTGTCTTTAAGGTTAAAGCAAGTTTTGCCAGCTATCATTGCACCAAATCAAGGAGCTTTTGTGAAGGGAAGACAAATCACTAATTAAATTTTAATTGCCAATGAGAGTTTGGAGAACTTCAAAAGGGCCAGAAAGAAGGGGGTGGTGTGCAAGCAGGATCTAGAAAAGGCTTATGATTTAGTGGACTGGTCTTTTTTGAAGGAGGTTTTGGTGAACTTTGGGTTTGGGGACAGATGGTTCAAATGGATTATGGGGTGTGTCCAAAAGTATCACTACTTTGTACTAGTAAATGGGTCTGTGGTAGATTTTTTCCTAGATTTAAGGAGAATAAGACAAAGAGATCCACTCTCTTCACTCCTGTTTACACTGACTACAGACGTTTTGGGGAGATTGATTCATAGAGCAAATTAAGGAATTTAATAAGAGGGTGGAGAGTAGGAAGGGAGGAGATACCCCTTACCGATTTACCGTTTGCAGATGACAATACTGTTCTATGAAAGTGGAAATTTGTGTTGGATTAGAAACTTAAAATTGGTAATACAAGTTTTTGAACAAATGTCCAACTTAAAAGTGAATTTTGAGAAAAGTTGTGTAGTGGGAGTGAATTTGGAAGAAGGGGAGGTTAGGGAGTTTGCAAAGATTTTGGGGTGTGTAGTGGAAAGATTTGAGACAATCCTAAAAAAGAAGGCTTTTGGAACCCAGTAGTGGAAAGATTTGAGAAGAGACTCACCTCTTGGAAAAGTAACTACCTTTCTCTTGGTGGAAGGATTACACTCATTAGAGCTACCTTAGCCAATCTGCCCACTTACTTTTTGTTAGTTTTCAAGGTTCCAGCAAAGGTGGCTAATAGGCTAGAGAAACTAATGAGAGATTTTCTCTGGGAGCCAGGAGAGGAGAAGAGGGACCATAGGGAGGGCTGGAAGTTGGTGTGTAGAAGTAAGGAGAAAGGAGGGCTAGGGCTAGGGAATATTAGGAAAAGGAATGAGGCCCTATTAGGGAAGTGGTTATGGAGGTTTTCTTTAGAGAAGGAGAAGTTGTGGGCTAAAATAGTGGCTAGCATTCACGGAATGGAGGGCAATGGATGGGATCGTGGAATTCTGGCAAGTACTACAAATGCTTCACCCTGGAAAGCCACCCACAATCTGCTATCAGCTTTCTCCCCTCTGATCAGGTATGACTTAATTCCAGAAATTTCATAAAGTTTTGGGAACAAATTTGGTTAGGGAAAGCTGCTTTGAAGGACTAATTTCCATCTTTATGTGCCCTCTCTGATCTGAAAAATGAGCCTATCTCTTCCTTCCTTGTCCCATCTTCCAATTCTGGGTTCGGTTGGAATCCGGGGTTAAGAAGGGCTGTTAGAGACACTAACCTAAACAACATTTCGACTCTCCTTGGTCTTCTTGAAAATATTTTCTTGGACCCCACAAAGGAGGACACCAAAATTTGGACACCCACCCCCTCGGGCTTGTTCTCTTGTGCTTCTTTCTTCAAAGCCTTAACTGAGCCAACCAGTCCCATGGACCCTCCTTTCCCTGTAAAAGAGATCTGGGGTAAGCCAATTCCTCCTAGGGTTGGAAGTTTTTGTTGGGAAACTTTTCTAGAAAGAGTCAACACTAGTGATCTGCTTCAAAAAAAGAGACCCAAAACATGCTTATCTCCTCACTGGTGTGTTCTTTGTAGAACCGATGGGGAAACTGGTTTTCACATGTTGGCCTCTTGCCAGTTTGCAAGAGTGATTTGGGAATGGGCATTATCCCTTTTTGGGTGCAGTTGGTTCCCTCCTATGAGCTTGCAGAAGTTATTTTCTACTTCCTTCTTCAGGCGGCAGTGCAAAAGAGGCAGGACCATGTGGAGATGCCTAAGGGCTGCAATATGCTGGTCTTTGTGGGAAGAAAGGAACTCAAGGATTTTTCCTGGAAAAGAGAGGAGGCTTGAAGACCTGATAGACTTGATCCATTTCAGGGTAGTACAGTGGCTGAAATCCTCAGAGTTGTTCAAAGATTTCGCTGTGGATGACTTGCTTAGAAAGTAGGGTAGGTTGCTAGTTGTAACCAGGTCAAAACAGAATTCTCTCAGAGCCGAGATCTGTGCAGCTGTGGAAGGTGTCCAGAAAGCAAAGGAAATGAATATCAGAAGACTTGTAATTGAAGGGGATTCAGAGGTGGTAGTAGGGTGGCTGAAAGAAGATAAGGCTGGCCTATGGGGGTATAGCAATGAAAGGAAAAGTTTAAGTGGCTGGTCAAGGACATGGAAGTGAAGTTCAGATGGGTGAAGAGATCTGCTAACCCATTTTCTGATGAGTTAGTAAAGCTGAGGGTGGGTAGGGAAGTTTTATTTTGGGCTCAGTTGTAATTTCAGACTTTGTCCTTTGGCCTCAGTAGAGGGAGTTAAGAAATTTTATCTCCCTTTATGTACCATATTTACAGACTGATTAATGAAATTGTTGTTATTGATCAAAAAAAAAGATCATGCAATTCATGAATAACTAATAGATGGGAAATGGACCTAAGGGAGCTCTTTCAGGACTACTACTATGGCAGGTCTTAATGTCTTTGCTACGTCATTAGTAGATCTTAAAGTTGTGATTCTTTGGAATATTGATTTCAATATGCTATGAGACCAGCCATTTTTATGGAGAATATATTAGACAATCAAGAAACTCTTCATGCATAGAAGACTGCACCCAAGATGAAGATATTAATGAATATATTAAGAAAGATGAACACGATGATTTGGGAGGATAGAACTAGAAATAAACACATTCATGGAAACTCGGTGGCAGCCCCAACAGGTAACAAGATGAGGGAAGATGCCTAAGATTTTCTTAGTTACATGCATAGCGACAAAGTAATCTAGATTGAGTCAAAATCTTTAAATGACAAGCAGAAGGTCAGAAGGGCATGGGTTGAAGTATTCATAAAAAAGGACATAGATCAAAGTATATACTAATTACAAAATATCCATGACTTACACTTTGAAAGACAAAATGACCTTCGAGTGGAGTCAAACACTAATATGCCAACAGATATATGTCATCTAAACAATGCAGTAGTGCTCTACAAGATTTACCTCTTGAAAATCCACTAAGAAGAGGAGAAAAATAAGCAGCTTTCTTGAACATCTTACTTGGGGAATCTAATGCCTGGTTCAAGAAAATAAAACGTCAATAAAAAATTAAACCATGAAAAAAGGGACTTATTGGCAAGTACAGTATTACAAAAATAAAACCATCCTGTGTGATTATACATTTACATCCAATGAAATCAGGCAATGAAGATGCTGCAACTCATACACATCTAGTGCAACAAAAAAAAAAAGAATTTTTTTGCCAACTGTTAATTATTTAAGACTCCAAACCAAGACAAGGTAACAAACTAAATGAGCACTGAATATAGATGCCTCCACTTGAAGGAAATTACAATCTTGATCAATACGTGCAAAGGATCTATCATGGACCTATTGCCACAAGTGCAGGAACAGTTGAAGCTTAATACAACACTAGACACAGGGAAAAGACAACAGCAAATAAAGCAGAAAATAACAATGGTATTTTTAACATTCTGGTTTTGAATTTTCTAGTAACTTAACTGGAAATTAGATAGTCAAGTAGATGTGCAAATATGAACATTCATAAATCAACAAAACCAGCAAAAGTTTATTGCAGCCAATAAGACATTTTATCAACACAGCCTCAAACCACAATCTTCCAAAAGGAAATGTTTTTGAAAATTCTAATTGAATTGCAATAAAACCTTCAATATATTTTAAAGTTATTAAAATCAAGAAAAGAAAAATAAGATTAATAAGTATTCTCTTTACATAACAGCAATCAAAAATAAAGCTTTCAGACCTGATACCGTAATCTGATCAAAGAAATTTTAATTGTGCAAAAACACTAAATTATCAGATTTCAGAAAAAGCATCAACTCGACATCTAAGTATCTAACATGAAGAACTATTTTCCCAACATCTTCACTTTCAATTGAGTTCAAGTGGCATTAATATCAACAAAATGAGGGAAAAACAGACTTTCAGATTAGATTAGTTAATTTACTTCCATTACCTACGTTTTCTTCACTTTTTTTCTGTCTTTTTTTTTAGATTAGAAAAGAATATTATATTAAAAGAAAAGAAAAAACTGAATACAACCAGAACAGGTGTTAAGGTAACACCCCATAAGCACAACATAAAACGAACCTACCAGCCAAATTAAACAGTTTACAATGTGGAAAAGAAAAATTAAACCATTCTTGCACTGAGGGTTGAGACAAAGAGAATCAATGGGATGTTGCAAAATCATATGATGGAAAAGTTGTTGAAAGCTGAACTGAGGGTTGAGACAAAGAGAATCATGTTCGATCTTGGAAGGGCTGGAGGTAGTAACCTGTTGAAAATCAGAGAAGAAAGGAGGGCAACGATCCTCCTGCCTGACGAAGCTGTGTTGTGGTTGAAAGGTTTTATTGATGGAGTAACCTACTCTATCAGGGCAGTAGGTTGGAGAAATTCCCTAGAAGTGCAAAGGAAGAGATTTGAAGCTGAGCTGAGAAGGAATGAGAGAGGATGGTTCATTGCTATCACAGAATATTTTGACAACAGGAGACAGATGGTATGTCTTCCGGAAGGGAAGGAAGTACAGGGATGGCTGGTCTTTGCAGATAAATTACAACAATACCTGTTACATGTTGACAGTGTTGCAAACAAGGTACAAGACACAAACGCAAAGGAGCCTAGTGAGCAAAACCATCCGAACCAGTTGGTAGTTGACACAAACGATGAGGAGCAGGAAGCTACAAAACAAAGCTCCTCCCTTTGTGGAGAAGCTACTGTTAGTTTGACGGGTGTAAAGAGGTTATTGCTTGAGGCTGAGAAAAGTATATGGAAGAGGAGAATGGTGATAACAGCCAACAAAGAAGTGAAGGATTGGAGAAAGTTGCTGTACACAGTGGTGTGTAACTTAGAAACAGAATCCGCTGTAGCATTAAAGCCGTTCTCAGACAGTAAGGCAGTCCTTGATGTAGGCGATGGAGAGTGGGGTTTCACAACATTTGATTCTGAAGAGGGCTTGATCCAGCTTCAAAATTGGAAGCCGCTATGTAATGAAATGGAACACACCTCTAGAAGCTTCATGCTCAAGTTGATAGGACTTCCTTTTCATCTCTGGAACGAGTCGAACCTGGAGAACATAGTGAGGCTGTTGGGAGGAGCTCTGGAGGAGATTAATCTTCAAGATTTACATGCTGCCGAGGTTAAGATTGCAGGGGTGAAACCAGAACTTCTGCCCAGATCAGTTGAAGTGTTATCCGATGGGTTCTGGTATCGTGCCTGGCTGATTTCGGAAGTGGAAGCGACCCTATGGGGACGAAGATTCAAGGTTGAAGATGCCAATGTGGGGGGCTGGTATACATGTGGCACACACTCGGTGGTGAGAAGAAGTGGTGAGCAGAGTAAGTCTAATTGGGAAGCTGGAAAGTTGGCGAAGGAAAACCAAAAGATAAGTAATCTAATTAAGGCAAGGAATTCAAAAGACTTTGAATTAAAAGGAGAGAAAGAGCTGGAAAAGGCAATGAAAGGAAGGCTACAAATGGACGGTGGGGATGAGAGTAGAATTGAAAAAAAGAAACGGGTGGGAGTCGATGGGTAAGGGGATAAAATAGGAATAACATCAAAAGAAAAGGGGAAGAAGCTAGAGAGAGAGGAATCAGTGCCAGCCAGTAACAAAGGGCTTAAGTTAAAGAAGTTTAATAGTTTAATTGGTTGGCGGTTAATCTTAAAGTAAAGGTGAGATTTAAAAAGGAGGGACTAAAGAGGGGCATTTCTGGAAAACATACATTTGGCTGAATGAGAAGAAGTTCAATCATCTGAGAACAGATCAACTGCTCACAGAAGGGGAAGAAGAGGAGAAATGGATCTGGGTAGTGACGAGATATGATAATGGAAGAGAGGAAAGAGGACAGGGAGGTGAAGAAGACAAGAGAGGGCCGCCAATAACCGGGGAGGAGCTCCAATCCCAGAAGACAGAGACAGCGGAAAAAGCCCACAGTGCGGGGAGAAAAAGATGGAGAAGTGGGAGAGAAGAAAGTAGATGATGGATATCTTGCTCAGGCGAGCTGTAGGGAGTGTGAACCGCATAAAGAAAAGGGACTTAATAGGGAGGAAAATTTTAATGACGGACAAGGAGAAATGACAGGGTTGCAGGGGAGTTCCTTAGATCAGGGAGAGGAGCATATCTCTTCTCTAAAGAATATTGTTTCGGAGGAAGAAGGAGCAGAGGAAGGGCGGAAGGTAAGAAGAAAAAATCGTGAATCCATCTATACTGATTTGACTCCAAGATCCGAGGAGGTGAGTCAATATTTCGTTCCGGACACTCCTCTACTAGAAGGGTTAAATAAGGAGATTAGTGAGGGTGAAGAGAGTTTAAAAGGAGGAGAAAGGGAGAAAACAAAGATAAATAGAAGACAGAGAGCAGGGGAGAAAGGAGGGAATCTCAAAACAAGGTTTATAATAGGAAAAGGAGACAATCGGGTCTACTACAGAGTCAGGAAGAGGGGAAAGGAAAGGAAAGGAATGAAGTTAACAAAACAAGGAAGGGGGAAGGAGAGGAGGTAACTGTGCACTCCCCTCAAATTGTTCGAACTGATTCAGAGGTAATACAAGATGGGGAAGTAAATATAGAAAAGTTGGTAGAGATGGAGGTTCAGATTTGGAAATCACTTGAATTAGTCTTCTGGGGAGGGGAGGGTTTTGCCAAAATAGCGTTCGAGAAATTTGAGCAGAAGAAGAAAGAAGAGAGAGAGAGAAAAAGAGAAATCCTAGAGAAAAACAAGGGGTGGAATGAGGAAGAGGAAGAAGAGGAAAATTTGGACGAGAACGAGTAAAGAGGAATAGGACAGTGGGGGAGGGGGAAAGGGAAGAGGGATGAAGATTCTCAGTTGGAATGTGAGAGGTTTGAGGGATGGAAAAGACAGGAAATGGTAAGAAATCTAATAAGAAAAACCAAACCAGATGTGGTATTGTTGGAGGAAACAAAGTGGAAAGTTTTGACTGGAGATTGAAGCTGGATATTTGGGGAGAGGAGGGTGCAGAATGGGTGGATCTACAAGCTTCGGTTTTGGAGTTCAGAAGTCTCCAAAGTTGATTTATTGGAAAATTTCTGGAATTCACTTGTGTTACAGCCTTGCAATGTAGTTGCACTCTCAGCTTAATGTCCTGGACATGTAATTGAAGTATGTACTTGATGTTGTTGGTGTGTCATCTAGACAACCAATGCCATAGGATGCAACCTTTGCTTTTAATAAATTTTCTTTCTTCCTGATTCTTCAAAAAAAAACTCTTTTTTTGTATTGAGGGTAGGGGGGAGGCCAGCTATACCTACTTAGATAGAAGTATGATATGGAAAAGTGAAAAGCCTAGCGCTATCATAAATATTTGAAGAGGCCAATGTCCAAAATATTTGAGAAAGCAAAGTGCATGTTGGTAGAGAGAGAGAGAGAGAGAGAGAGAAGTTCTCCATCTTTTTTTTTATCATTAACAGAAAATGCATTCATTGAAACCATTAAGAATGATGGAATGGTACATAGCAGAGACAGGAGAGATAAACTCTCTTATTTCTCCCAAAAATGAACAAGTTACAAACAAGCCCAAAATAGTTGATTTCTTCCCACCCCCTGTTTTACCAAAGAATCAGCAAAAGAATTAGCATCTCTTTTCACCCAATGTAAAGTTACCTCCATCCCTCAGAGCAGCCTTCTAATCCTCCTCCTCTCAAGAAAATATTACCACCATCCCTCATCCTCTTCCTTTGGCAGCCATCTAATCACCAACTTTGAATCACCCTCAATTGAAAGTTTGTGAATATTCAAATCCTTTGCTTTCAGTATTCCTTCCATGACAGCAAGTATTTCAGCTCTTAGAGCATCACCTACCCCTATTGGACCGGAGAATAGAGCAATAACTTTTCCTTCTTCAATTCTGAACACACCTCCAATACCAGATGGTCCTGGGTTGCCTTCACTGCTACCATCAAAATGCAACTTAATGAAGCCTCTTAAAGGTGGGGACCATTGAAGTCTACAAGTAACCTTAAGAGGAGCAGAATTGGCAATTTCCTTCCGCTTCCTCATCAACTCACCTGCTGGAATGTCT